TATATGCAGCTGAGAGAGAACCCTTTATCACATTAAAGGACCACAAACCTAATTTTGAAAATAACCCTACCTGCCGTCTTATCAACCCTCGTAAGTCCGAAATCGGCAAAGTAAGTAAACAAATTCTAGACAGAATCAACTCAAAAGTTATCGAGTCTACCGGCATGAATCAATGAAAAAATACGAAATCTGTCCTGACGTGGTTTAATAACTTCGCCGACAAAGATCAGCATTCATTTATCGCGTTTGACGTAGTTGACTTTTATCCATCTATTTCCATTGAGCTTCAAAACGCTGCTTTAGATTTCGCATCAAATTACGACATTATTACGAACGAGGAACGAGAAATTATTATGCACGCCAAAACATCATGTTTACACAGTTCGGGAAATTATTGGGGTAAACGGACATCATCTACTCAGAATAGTCTCTTTGATGTTACAATGGGCAGCTTCGACGGTGCAGAATCGTGTGAACTGGTGGGTTCATATTTACTACATCTTATCACAACAAAGCATGGAAACAACTTCGGATTATATAGAGATGACGGGTTAGGAGTCATTAAAGCGACAGCGCGTGAGATAGAAAATATCAAAAAAGATTTGTGTTCCATTTTCAACAAATACGGACTCAAAATCACAATTGAAGCTAACAAGAAAATAGTCAATTTCCTTGACGTTACCCTTAATTTTGTCAACCAGGAAATATCAACCATACACCAAACCTAATAATATACCCCTTTACGTGCACAAGAAATCTAATCACCCACCTAATATCCTGAGCAATATCCCACTATCTATCAACAAACGCCTAACTGAAATATCATCCGATGAGGAATCATTTCAACGAGCCTCGCAACAATACCAGCATGCACTTGAGAATAATGGTTATAAACACCAGTTAAAGTACAAGCACCCAATAAATCATACAACCCCTCGAACCCGAAATCGAAGACGGAATATCATTTGGTACAATCCACCATTTAGTAAAAATGTATCAACAAACATTGGACAAACATTTTTGAATATCATCGATGATGAATTCCCGATAGGCCACCCCTTACACAAAATATTCAACCGCAACACTGTTAAAATAAGCTACAGTTGCATGCCTAATATCAAACAACCCATCGACGGACATAACAAGACCAAACTGTCCCAAACCGCCACAACGAGCGAAGAAAGCACATGCAACTGTAGAAAGAAAGAGGAGTGCCCAATGTCCAAAAAATGTTTGGTCGAATCCATTGTATACCAAGCTACAGTTTCTACCAACGACAATAGTCCACCTCAAACATATGTTGGTCTGACTGAAAACGCTTTTAAAACTAGATATTACAACCACAAAACCTCATTTACTTTGTACGAGAAAAGGAACTCCACTGAACTGAGTAAATATGTCTGGCAGTTAAAGCGCAGAGGAATTGAATTTCATATTAAATGGCAAACTTTGAAACGGGCCAAACCCTACAGCCCTGCTTCTAATAGATGTAATCTCTGCCTGTGGGAAAAATACTTTATTATATGTAAACCTGAACTGGCTACTTTGAACAAACGTAACAAATTAGTGTCTTCATGTAGACATGCGAAAAAATTTCTTTTAGCTAACATTTAAAGGGCATGCACTCGAGACAGACATATTTTTGTTTTAAATATACCGTGCAATCTTAATAGCTTGGTGTTATGTTATGCGTTGTTAATATTTCCGCGTCCTGTCAATTTTATCAAGTAACAAAATAATTGCTTTGCGTGCTTTGTAAATAGGATTAATTTAAAGCTTTCATCCACTTGTACATAAATACTGTAGGTTTTTTGCTGTAGTCATAAGGCTAATTTATCTGATGAGTGCCACATCTTGTGGTACGAAACTAATAGTAATAAAGATGCCTAGTGGAATTTGTTGAGTCGTTGCACTTATTTAATTATGCTCTGGATATCCATTGAGCACTCTGCCAAATGTTTTTGTAAACAACGAAACCTAATTATATATATATATATATATATATATATATATATATATATATATATATATATATATATATATATATATATATATATATATATATATATATATATATATATATATATATATATATATATATATATTTATATCTTAAAATTAATTATTGCTACTCAAGTTTCACGCCTTATTCAAGACGATCTTCAGGCAATTAATTCAGTTTGTGTTTGATTATTAATTGAATTAATTGCCTGAAGATCGTCTTGAATAAGGCGTGAAACTTGAGTAGCAATAATTAATTTTAAGATATAAATATATCTTGCTCTACTTTTGTATTAGTGTTGAGCACTTTATTATCTACTACAACAAAACAAATTATATTATATATATATATATATATATATATATATATATATATATATATATATATATATATATATATATATATATATATATATATATATATATATATATGCAATTCTCACTTCCAGATAAACACACAGACGACAACGGACATAAATTCGACTGCATGGTCTCAAACGAGATGCCTAGGACAAGCAACGACCAAACCAAGCGTGCACGCATGGCATAGTTTGGACAAACAAACATTTAACCGTCACATTGACATCCCTACAATTTACTTACCACTGAAACGCTCGCACAAATCTCCTAATTCATCTTCATTAACCTTTAACCCACCCTCAACTTCCTTCCCTACACCATCTCATGATAACATGCAATAATCACCCGCATTCCATAGTAACCAATGGCAACCAACATACTGAAATCCATCAACCAATCAGACGTTCCTACAGACTTCAACAGCGTCAACAACAGCGCGAAAATTCAAAAGATCAATCTTTCTGATGAAGACTCGAAGTACCGAGTATATATATATATATATTTCGACTCGGTACTTCGAGTCTTCATCAGAAAGATTGATCTTTTGAATTTTCGCGCTGTTGTTGACGCTGTTGAAGTCTGTGGGATTAACACTTGATTGGTTGATGGATTTCAGTATGTTGGTTGCCATTGGTTACTATGGAATGCGGGTGATTGTTGCATGTTATCATGAGATGGTGTAGGGAAGGAAGTTGAGGGTGGGTTAAAGGTTAATGAAGATGAATTAGGAGATTTGTTCGAGCGTTTCAGTTGTAAGTAAATTGTAGGGATGTCAATGTGACGGTTAAATGTTTGTTTGTCTAAACTATGCCACGCTTCTTTAAACTCACGGGCATGTTTAGTAGTTGCTTGTCCTAGGCATCTCGTTTGAGACTGTAAAATAGACTGAATAATGATTTATTACAAATGTCAATCAACGTTTGCTACATGCTTAGAAGTTAATTATTAACTTATCGCATCCTACAAATACTACATTACTCTCCCTCTATTTTTTTTTAACTGAATGTCAACCACTTAATAAAATGTCCTTGCCTTGTGTTCATACTTATGTAAATCAACGTTGTCTGATGTTTCTATAATTTAAACGTTTATATCGTTTTACTGTTTATAACATCAAGTCTGGTACTGATATCGTATTACCGGTCTTTTCATTCTTGTTCATCTCCTTACACTTGTTTCTTGCTTTGGTGGTTCCTCTGTTTCCGTCGATCTTCCCGGTGCTGTATCTTCTTGCTCCTCCTCGCTTTCCTCCATTACTACCTTCTTAAAGTGTGAAACGTTTCTTGTCACCGTCTTACCATCTCTTTTAGCTATGATGGTGTTGTACTTACGTTGTTCTACCGTATAATGTTCTGGGTCAAACTTTGATGTTAACTTATTGTTCCTCTTCTGTTTGCAAATGACGAAGTCACCTTTTTTGATACCAGCTTCCTTTGTTTTTTTTTTGTTTCTGTCGTAGTACTCTTTGTTCTCTTCTTTCTTCTGCTCCAAATTCTGCTTCGCCCTCTTGTGTCTATTAATTACTTTTTTCTTGTGAGTTCTGGTAAATATCCCCGAATTTGTCTGTTAGAAAGTAGTTCACACGGATCGAGTGACTTTAGTAGTTTGATGAGGAGTTGAACGGTATTGAAGTAGAAACCTTTGCAGTTCTTGCTTCCAATTCTTTCCCTCAATTTCTGCTGTTTTCAAGAGTTTTCCAATTGGTTTCATAAATCTTTCTACAACGGCATTACCCTGGGGCCATAGTGGTGTAATTGTTTTCCATTCAATACCAAGGGTTTTAGCGTATGTTTCAAATTCTTTCCCATTAAATGGGGGTCCATTGTCAGTTTTTATTTTTGATGGTATTCCATATCTGGCAAATATTGTATATAATTTTGGTTTGCAAGTTTCTGCTTCGGTTGAGTTGACTATTTCTACCTCTGGGAATTTTGAGTAGGTATCGATAACCACTAGCAGGTATTGACCAGTTCGGGGTACTGGACCATAGAAGTCGATTGCTACACTAGTCCATGGTTTGTCTTCGGTTGGTGTTATTTTCATTGGCTCCGGGTTATTACCGTGACCTAGCTACTGATTGGCAAGGAATGCATTTGTCTACCATTTCTTTCACTCGTTTGTCCATATTTAGGTACCAGATATTTTCGCGTAGTAGGCTTTTCGTTTTCTCAATTCCCTGATGCCCAATATGACCTAATTTTGTTGCTCTTTCTTGTAATGCTGTTGGAATGACCAGCCGTGTGTTCTTCAACAGTATACCTGCTGATGCATTGTACGTAAGTTCGTCGGCGCAAAGTCTAAACGGTTTAAGATCAAGATCGTTCTCATCCCATTTTCCCTCTTCCAGACATTTCTTAACTTTTTGTAATACTGGATCGTTATGGGTTTCTTTTTTAATCTCGTCAAGTGTCATTGACTTTGGAACTGAACAGTTAGTTACATAGTTCACATATTCTTCTGCTGATGCACTAGTTATTTGTTCTCTCTCTATGACAGCTTGATGTCGACTTAAGTAGTCAGCTTCGTTTAAGGATCCTTTGCGGTAAATGACTTTGAAGTTGAATGGTTGTAATCGCATCATCCATCTCTCGATTCGGGCTGGTGGTCTGGATCTTGGGTTATTGAATATAGATTCTAATGCTTTATGATCAGTTATCACATCGAATTCTGATCCAATCAAGAACATTCGAAAATGCTCAATTCCCCATACTAAGCTAAGTCCTTCAATATCTGCATGGGCGTACCGGAAGGAACAAATTAGGGGGGCGGAAAGAAAATTGCCCGACTTTTCGGGATTCTGCCCGACTAGTACCAAAACAATTTCGGTAAGTGTACCATTTTAGGGGTCAAAAACATTTTCCGGACAACCAATATTTTTCGGAACTTCACACAAATTTTCGAAAAATCACAAAATTTACCAAAAAATTGACTCCATTTTGGACAAAATTGACAGAATTTGTCCCATTTTTTTTATTGAAAACCAAAATTGCCCGACTGTTGATCGAATATTGCCCGACTGCCCAAAAAACTGCCCGGTACGCCTAGAGTATCTTGTCTCAACTGGGCTGAGTGCTCTGCTTGCATATGAAAGGATTTTGTACTGCTGGCTGTGATGTTCTTTCTGTGCTAGTATTGCATTAATTCCATAAGGGGAGCCATCTACGATTACTAGACTTCGTTTCCTTGTATCGAAATATGCCATAACTTTATGGGGTACTTGTTAGTTTCTTTTTCAGTTACTCAAATGCTTTCTGTTGTCTATTTTCCCTCTTAAACGCAATGTTTTTCTTGGTTAGTTCTCTTAGGAGGTGCTGTAATAGTTGCATAATTCGTGGCAAGTGTTGGCCATTCCCAGAAAACTTCTAACTTCTCGAGCAGTTTTGGGAGCTGGTACTCTAACCATGTTCTCAATTCTCTCTGGATCTGGTTTGGTTCCTGCTGCTGTAAATTTTAATCCAAAGAACGTAATTTCATCTTGTAGAAATTCACATTTTTCCCCTTTCACTTTCAAGTTTAGTGCTGCTAGCCGTTTTACACAGTTCTCTAGTGCTTCATCGTGTGACTTTCAGGTTTTACCATGAATAATAATACCATCCACCAGGTTTTTCACTCCTCTGATATCGCTAAGGTTTTGTTGTAGCACATTTTGGATATCTCGGAACAGTCCTTCGTGGGTAGAAAACGTTGTAATGAATCGACTGTCTGGGTGTAATTCGAGCTGGTGATATGCTTGCTTTAGGTCAATCTTTGAGAAGAATTTTGCTCCATTTACCTCAGCCTTTAAAATCTTGTAAAGTTGGCATTGTGTGTCTCTCTTTTGATTGCCTGGTTTGCTTCCCTCATGTCTACACATAGTCTAATACCTCCGTCTTTCTTTCGTGTGACAACTATTGGAGATATCCATGGTGTTGGTTGATTGGCGACTTTCTCGACAATGCCTTGTTCTTCTAGTTTCTTTAGTTCCTTAGAAACATCATTTCTCACATGATATTGTATACGTCTTTGCCGCTACATAACTAGTTTGACATCGTCTCGGATATGAAGTTTAATTTGTTGATTGTTTAATTTTCCTTGCCCCTTGAAAACTGAACCGATGGCGCAGGCGACAGTAGACAAACAACAACAATGGTTTGGTTTTCTTATTATTAAATTATACAAACACGAAATTTGCATAAAATATGTATATATAATCTGAAGCTATAAGATAAAGAAGACAAAGAAAATTACGACTATGTTTACAAATATAAATACAATACATTACGTTACAATTACACTGTTTTTAACTTACATTTGTCCAAACCACTGATAAACTTTAAAACCATAAACCTAACTTGACTTTTCCCGGTTCAAAACATTAATTTTTAGCGTTTCTTTAGACTACTTTTATGCATGACTTTTAACGTTCAGCATGGCTTCCTTTTCGCGCGCTTTTTCTCAGTTCATCGCGGGCGACAATAAATATTCCACGTACGTCATGTTATTTTAGTCAAATCAACGTAACAAAAACTGTACTATATTTGTTTATGATTTCTTGTATTTTGGGGTCTTTTGATTGAGGAACACTTGTGTTGATTTCTGGATTGGTCTCGCATGCATTGCTGTGTGTATTGTTTTGATTTCTTTTTGTTTGTTTATCCTGTTCAGGAAAACCGGAAATTGTGTTAATTAGCTCGACCAAGGCCAACTAAATCTTGGGCTGTTTTAGCACATAGTAAATTTCCTCCTGCACCGTCTATTACATATATTTGCGACACGGTATAACGCTTTTTCGATTCGAGTGTTGCTTGAAATTGTCCGTTTAGAGGCAGAGGTGTGTGAAATCCATATGCGTAGATTTTAGTTGAACTTTTACGTAATGAACTTTTTCTCTTTAATTTCGCGTATGTCGTAGAATCAATGATGTCAACAGTCGCGCCAGTGTCAACCAAAAATAAAACGTCCTGTCCATTTATTTTTACGGTCGCGTGTGTTTTCTCCCTCGTTTCTTGCGATACTGTGTAAACATAATTTATTACATAATCCTCTTCTTCAGAGCTTTCAGTATTTGGTTCGCTTTGTGATATTCCGACAGCCTTTGCTTGTTGTTTTCGTTGTTTATTCTCACCCATCGTGATTGGCGCCTTTTGTCTGGGGAGGTAAAACCTTGCATTTGTAATTTCCCGAGGTTTCCCTTACTTACGAAAGATTATCCTCGTGTTCGACATACTTTAGCGAAGTGTCCCTTTATTCCGCAGTGGTTACAAATAGCAGACTTCGCTGGGCACGGTTGATTGTCGTGTGGATACTTGAAACCGCAGTAATAACACTTTTTCTCAGTGGGCGTTGCCATAGCCGTTGCATTTATATTTTCCCTTGTTTTGAATTGTTCTTCGATCCCAACGGCTTGAGCTGAACTAGTTTCGTATTTTCGTCCATCTATTAACATGTTTGCAAAACTATATTTTGGGTCTTGTAGTGCTTTCTTTCGTAATCTTGAAGAAGTGCCGTTCGTAACAATCTGCATCTTAATTTCAAAATCTATGTTTGTAAATTCGCAGTATTTTGCCAAGCCTCGTAAACGCGTATGAAATTCGTCGATTGATTCCTCTTTGCCTTGTGTCGCTTGTCTAAAAACATAGGTGCGATATATCACATTTTTCTCTGGTTCAAAATACTCTTTCACTGCTGACTTAAAATCTTTGGTTTCGCCCTCTTCTAGAGTCTTGAAAATTTCGTGTACTTCGGGCCCCGCCTGATACAATAATAAAGCTCGCTTTCTCGCATCGTCTTTAATATCTGCTGCAAGCAAATATGTGTTGAATCTCTCCAGCCATCGTGTCCATCTCGCACTAGTACTTGTAGGATCACTCCTTGGTTCAAAAGCAGGCATAGGCTGTATGTTTTGCGCCGCCATTCTAGTTTTCCGTTATATTTTTCACGCTGTTTATTTTTACATCCTCGTCGCCATTGTAGAATAGACTGAACAAGACGCCTACTCAGGCGTTCACTCCAGGTACAGTGCCTTAACTAACGGTGATCACTAGATAGTATACTTCAAAATAAGGTTTCCGTTTTTATAACGTAGAAAAAACTATCCTAACGCAAAACTAAACCCTAACCCTAATACTCACCCTAACCCCAACCTAACCCTAACCTAAACCCTAACCTAACCCTAACTTATTTTAATTATTTTAAAAATTGATATAAAAACGGAAACCTTATTTTGAAGTATACGGCGCAAAGCTACTTAAAGGTGATCTACAGTCCGATCTGCGCATGTGCACAAATGGGCCCACTTTTTATGATACAAACAGTTTAACTATGTTCTGAGTTCTTGAAAAGCCTGATTGTTGTTTCTTGATCATTTATTATACTCTAGAAGCTTGAAAATATAAATAGTTGTCGAATAAAGCTCGATATTTTGGACACAAAAATGTAAACAAAGGCTTTGTTTACATACGGACTGTAGATCACCTTTAACGTATATGCTTATATACGGCAATGAAGGTATCTGTAATGCATGATATTTAGCATATTAAAGTTGGAAAAGTGGGAGAACTACAGTGTACCACTTGACCAGGTGACTAATAACATGCATATGCAATGATCATAATATTTTATAACATAAAAATAAAAGGACATTGTAACACTGATTATCTCTAATAAAAGCTATCTAGTTCTTTATTAAAAGTTCTATTTAAAACATGCGAAGGAGTGTTTTAACGAGTCGTATATAATAAGTCGGAGGCCGTATTTTACAAATATTTTATGGGTTTTATTGTCGAGGGTAGAAATTCGAGTGTGAAAAGCTTGAGGGTATACATTTTAATAATTTAACAAAATAATAATTTAAGTTCGTGTTCACTTACTTTACTTTTAATTTTTAGCTCTTATTTTTAATTTATATGCAATTATTAATTTTTTATATGCGATTACTTTTTATATGACAAAATATTACTACATAAAAATAGACATGCCGATCAAAAGCTACAGTCGAGATAGTTTCAAACGGCGTGGTGCATTATCTGCGTTATCTCGGACTGCATGTCACAAATTATTGTATTGTCTATTCACTATATGGTCTATTGAATGAGTATTGTTTTCGCTATTGTGCTTGCCCCACTTGCAAATTTATCTATAGGGAATGCCCGCAAATTTCTACCCTCGACAATAAAAACCACTGTAAAATATTTTAGAAATACGACCCCGGACTTTTTATATATGACCCTCGACTTTTTCATATGACCCTCGACTTTTTATATATGATATTTCGACCCTCGCTTCCCACCCTCGACCCTCGAGAAGAACTCCTGAAACTGAATTACTAAAAATAGCTAACGTAAACAAACCTCATTTATCAAACACGCAAAGAAAATTATTTAAAAAGTAATATATTGTTAGTCGTGTCATATAGTTAATTGTCAACACTTTTTCAATGCAGGTAGTAAATTCATAACTGGCACCATAACTCATAATTAAGTTATGTTGATATTTTGTTTATACAGATTGATTGTTTTAATTTGTAAGGCTTCTGTAAGTTTGTTATTATCAAACGTTTAGATTGTTTTTAAGCATCTTAGTAATGATTTTACTTTAAGACCAAGACAATGCAGCTGTCGAGACCGATTTTTAATACTCTATAAATTCAATAAATAAAACATTAAACTGTGTAATAGGCGTATAGTGTTGGGTAAAGCTATCTATAGTTATATATATTTTATATGCGCTTTTGTCTAATTCAAGCGTGGTAGACAATATTGCCAATATTGTTGTGGTTTGCGATATAAATTGCCTCGTGAATCGAAGACTTTCAGATATGTCATGTCGAATAGATTTGTGCGTTGTTTGTACTTCAATTTTGGCCACGAGGCACAAAGGGAGACTTAAAGAACACGAGTGGACGTCCTAATAACAAAAACAGACAACGGCACTTTAACCACACAAGTTTATTGCAAGAAAACACACACAGATCAAATTTTAAATTACAATAGCAATCACCCAACACAACACAACACAACACAACACAACACAACACAACACAACACAACACAACACAACACAACACAACACAAAGTCAGTTGCATAAAGACTCTATTCAACAGAATTGACACACATTGTAACACTGATCTATCAAAACAAGACGAACGCAAGTATTTATACTCTACTTTCTACAAAAATGACTACCCTTTAGACTTCATTAATAAGGTGCTACAACATAAAAAAAAAACCGGACCAACTTAACCAAACAAAAACGAGAATTACACTTCCTTACATTTATACACACTACTTCAGAAATGGCAGCTAGACTCCTCCGACCATTCAACATTGACGTTGCACACAAACCAACATGCAAACTTAGGTCCAACTTCACTAAACACAAAGAGAAGACACATATAACGGAAAAACATAACGCCATAATTTACATCTTCCCGTGCAAAAACTGTCCGGATAAGTACATTGGACAAACATCTAAAAAGATTCAGACAAGACTAACTGAACTGAACACCAGAACGCAATCAACAGACACGACCATAGCTCACTTCCAGCTAAACACACAGACGACAACGGACATAAATTCGACTGGTCTCAAACGAGATGCCTAGGACAAGCAACTACTAAACATGCCCCTGAGTTTAAAGAAGCGTGGCATTGTTTAGACAAACAAACATTTAACCGTCACATTGACATCCCTACAATTTACTTACAACTGAAACACTCGCACAAATCTCCTAATTCATCTTCATTAACCTTTAACCCACCCTCAACTTCCTTCCCTACACCGTCTCATGATAACAACAATCACCCGCATTCCATAGTAACCAATGGCAACCAACATACTGAAATCCATCAACCAATCAGACGTTCCCACAGACTTCAACAGTGTCAACAACAGCGCGAAAATTCAAAAGATCAATCTTTCTGATGAAGACTCGAGGTACCGAGTCGAAAGCTCATAACAAATAATTACAATCCGGAGAACATTGTATAATGTTGTAAAAATTATAATTTAATAAAATGCCTGGATTACAAATCTTATATATGTATATATATTTATATATATATATATGTATATATATATATATATATATATATATATATATATATATATATATATATATATATATATATATATATATATATACAGGGTGTATCATAAAAAACGGAGACCTCGCTTCAAATATAAATTTCGAAACGAATATTAGAGTAAAACGTTCAGGTTTACATTTGTTTTAAAGCGTAGACATTCAGCTTTCCAACGATGGGTTGTTTCGTAAATTTAATCCAGTAGTTCGTGAATAATAGTATTTTAAGTGATTGCGATTGGAGAGTCAAAAATTTGAGATGCAATAACAAATCGGTACTTGATGAAAATAACTTATTTTGTCAACAAAACGAGCAAATTGAGGCATTTTGGCAATTGCTTGTAAAAATCAAGTAATAATGGCTTCCAATACACTATTTTAAATTCACTTGCTGACTTCAAATGCGTTATAATACCGGCTGAAGCGTGTTTTAGCTTGCCGTCAACTTGCTAATTTATATTTACATTATACGGCCCAATTCGATGGTGCTCGTTCGGACGATGCATGGACGTAAGGTTGTTTTGATGATTTCTGGAAATAATATAGGATTTTAAAATAAATAAAACAACCTAATCTCTTTTAGAATGTTTTTAACAAGTTCTTACTAGTTTTTCCGATGTGGCAACAAGAACATTAAAGTTTGAACAAGAAAATTCAAACATTGCAACCGACTATGGAATAACACAGTAAATTTGTATAATTAAGCGGCATCTAAACATGATAGGTTTTACTAAATTTTCTCCTGTGCATTTTTCTCCTGTGCATTTATTACTTGCACTAAAGACACGGATGACCATTTGGTCGAAAGATAAATGAACAGGCTTTAAAATAAGCCTAAAACCGTTTTATTAGAAGTATAGCAGTCCGAAAGTTATTAAGCACAAAAGTTGGACTCCGTTTTTTTTTATACACCCTGTATATATATATATATATATATATATATATATATATATATATATATATATATATATATATATATATATATATATATATATATATATATATAATATAATATATATGTTTGCATTGAATATTTTCGAAGTCCCAAACGTTTTGGCATATTAACACTAATGTTGCCAACGTTATTTCATTAAGCGTATATTATATAGGTGCACGATTTAAGTTATTAGTTTTAAGAAGTATTTCCTTTCCTGCTCATATATAATGTGGAAAAATTTATATGTATTATAATTACAACATGTATGGCATGCACTTTGCATTTAAGATTGGCATTATGCCAGTTTTATTTGGTTCATGCCATGATTCAGGGATAATTAAATGTTAATGCGTGCATGCATATAAAGTAATGGACGTGGATCATATCACAACAGAAACATTTCAATTCTACATAAACATGCAGAGATAATTATACGAACCTCGACGTATAGCAACAGTAAATGTTAAACAAATAAAATTTGTTCAGCAACTCGAACTTTCGTTTGTTTTTGGTTTCTTTAGTATCACAGCAGGACTCCAAATTAGCCTTTAAAGAGCATTTTCTATTTTATTTTTGTCATTAAGTGTCTCAAGTATGCCACGAACTTATCAAAGACACCGGCATTGCAATATTCGACCTGGGGATTCCTATATGTGGTCCGTGGTAGTTATTCTTCTTCTATGTTCTAGCAGTGGTAAGTTTTTGTGTTAACAATTTATAAACTGTAATATAAACAAAAAATTCAAAAAGTTAACACATGTGAAAATTTCTCGGTTCAAATTCTTACACGAATGGAACAAAGAAGTTTCTATATATATACAATATAGTTTCCCCATAATACATACAAATTACTTATAGTTTTGGTACTTTTCATATATTATATTATATTATATTTAACAAATATAAAACATTTTCCGTGTTGATATACTGTTATATCAACACGAGTGGAAATTGGGAAAACGACTGAGAAATTGTGTCGAAACACGACGCCCGAAGGGCGGATTGTATTCACACAATTTTTTGTTTTCCCAATTTCCACTCGTGTTGATATAACTGTATATCAGTACGGGAAAAATGTTTTATATTTTTTTATATTATAGCACGAAGAAATATAAAGAAAGAAATTTTCCGTGTTGACATTGAGTTATATCAACACGACCCTTAGCCAATCAGCGTTCAAAATTTACAAATGCTATATTATAAAATATTGTTATACTATCAAAATTCTATAATATATCATAGAATTCGTTCTTTTTAACCCTGACGATGGACGCTCATTCCGAAAGCTTGCATGGTTTTTATTTTTTTACATTATATTTAAATAAAGTTTCTAAAACAAGGCTAGAAGAAACGTGTAAGATTTTAAAGATTTTTTAAAGATTTCATCTATAGGTACCTAGCCACATGACGACCGTGTTAGATATATTTATACAGTTAATGTACACAGATCTGTAGTTTTCGTGCATTTCATGCATGCGGATGATTCTAGTCAATCATTGCAATTGTGATCAATGACAATGCCCAGTGATTACCGCATACTGTACCTTTAAATTTGCATTTTTCGAATTATTATAAGTCGACAAATACTGACCAAATGTTTATGCGCGTTCCTACCAAATTCACTTTTTTGAATGTCACAAAACATCTGGCATTTGCCTGGTTATTTGTCATTCAATGAGGTATTTAAATTAAGTATATCTGTTTCTGTACGTGAACAATTAAATTGGTTGTAAGCGATTAGGCAGTGAAAAAATATGCCACGTTGTCATGTTGTGTAAGAAATTACAAAATAGAAAACGGTGAGCATATGGTTGGTATTTCAGTAAAGATTATACATAAACACTCTGTTGTTTTGTTTTAAAGCAAATCATGGAAGTTTCATACCAAGGTTCTCAGTATGTTTTATTAAGACATGTTTCTAAACTATAATCGATGATGTGCCTTGTTAGCCCATTAAGCGGCTACATTGCGCTCTATTTTATTATTTTACTCTGTCTTTTGATCCTCTTGCTGTGTAACATATATAAATGAAATGCAATACACTTGCGCAGGAACTGGACAATTTGACAGAGCCAGAGGAAACTGAAACAATATATCGACATCTAACGTCATTGCCTCATGTGCTTGGCATTCAAGGGTAGCGCTGGAATTTTCTGTTTCGTTAACCGCGCCAGGATCACCAGTAAAGCCTGTTTTCCACTAGGCGGAATTTTGCGCGCGGAGCGGAAGTTTTCTTTGTCTTTTCTAATTAGTTCCACCTGAGAAATCACAAGACAAAGAAAAATTCCGCTCCGCGCGCAAAATTCCGCCTAGTGGAAAACAGGCTTAACAATCATTGTCGGTGTGCGTCACATCCAGCGAATATGAAATGAGATATTCACGTACCACGCAAAACACGCGTCCAAACGCGCGTCTCAACGTGTTAACACGACATAAATAAGTAACACAAAGTCGAGTTAGTCTGATGATTTTTAAATAAAATAACATCACCAACTCATTCTCGTCTTGTTTAGACAATTTAACTCATATCTTGAATTTCAAGATGTTAATCTTCGGATTGTGTTTTGTCTTATACTTTTTGAAATTGTCGGCTGGTATTAGTTTTTCACGAAGTGCCAGTTAGGGGATACTTAAAAATCATATTATGATTATCGTTGAGAGACTTAAAAAGCTATCGGTACACATACGAAACAATATCACGATATCCATGGACCATAACCATAATTGCGGTATATCTTCGCTCACCGTTCTGCCTTCGATACGATAATCGCGAGTACTCGGAATATCGCGATAATATCGAAATATCGCCCAACTCTATCACGAACTTGATATTAAAGAGTTCAGGATTTCAGCGGTTCTGGATTTTGACGAGCTTTTAATTCGCGAGTTTTATGAGAGGCGCTATCTTGAAGTCGTAAAGGCATTAGAAAAGTTGCCAGAAAACTCTAATAAAAGTTTCTGCGCGTCTGACAAACATAATTTTAAGTTATACGTGCCACCATAGGAGACCTATCAGTCAAAACTTTAGATGAATGGATTTCAAAATTTCAAGATGTCGACAATGTTAATTTTAAGACGAAAGCATCGTAGTGGTAACATAGGGATATTTTTTTTACATTTAAATACTCTTAATCTGTTAAGATTTTTAAGATATATGATAATTTGTAAAAAAATAATGCATGCACTATTTACCATCAAATGCCTAATGATTTTAACTCTTGTAAATAGCCTAGATTCTAAAGCATATTCATGTACTATTTTTTTAACTTATTTCTATCCATTGTAAAGTATACTCGTTAATTCAGTTTTTTTGTAACTGCAAGAGAGTTCTAATAAACTATTATTATTATTATTATTATAGTATAGAATCAAGTAGTGATAACGTAGCCGGATAGTAGAGGACATTCAGTGGTACACGCGTGGGGTGTAGCTTCCGTCTTCCCATCATACCCCGCGTTTTAAATAATTACTTATTACTTTTACTAAAAATTCTCAAGGCTCTGCCGAGGAGAGTGAGACGCAAGCTAAAACTCGATACAAAATTACTTCAGATGCTATGCACAGCACAACTACGCGTGTTTCGCGTGGTATCTTATTTCATATTCTTATTTCATATTCGCCGGATGTGACGCACGCTGAAAGTGGTGACACTGATTGATACTGGTGACCCTGGCAGTTTACAAAACGGAAAATTGCGCGGCGCTGTTCCGTTAGGAGTCTGAGCTTTTTTCTTTCATACAATTACTTCCTTTAATGGTTTTATCGATTTTCAAAATCTTGGTGCAGAAATAGAGAATGTTTTCCCTCATATATATGAGTAAAGTATCATTGCAAACGAATTGTGTTCGTTGCCATTTGATTAGCATGCAAAGCAAGCATTTTTTTACTTGTTAAACGCCTGCTTGGGGCATGCAGGCACTTGACTTGAATGCTTGACTTCAGTGCATCACAAGTGCATTGACTTCAATGCTTTGTTATCTTTGTTTCATTCTATAAACAGTGGGAGGTAGGAATTTGAGGTATCCGAAAATTAAGGCTAATAATAACCCAATTGGCTAGCAACGGATGTAAACATATAACATAGTCATCCGATTGCGTAATTTTTTAAAAAGAAAAACTGGATGAAACAGGTTTAGTGGCAATTTTTTGGTGTAAAAAACTCTATACAATCTCCTCTATTTATGTGGGTTTTTAGTGAGCTAAAATACTCTCGTAGAAATCTATACAAAAAACATGTGTATGAATTTGCATGGTATATACACTGTCTACACTGAGAAGTGCTATATGTCCTCAAATGGGGAAATAACGTGGCATATTAGGTGCATATAAATTCAAGTGCTAGTCGTTATTATCGATTCTGGCCGTGCATTACACATGCATGCATCCCTTTGAAAAAAAACTAAAGTAACAAAATGTGCCTATAAAATGAAGAAACCTTATCAGATACAAACAAGTGCATGTTTCCGGAGAATTGTTACCCGGATCAAAGCCAAATTAAGGACTGGATTGCATGACGCTTAATACCATGGCCATGTATGTTTGTTGTAATGCAACACTATATGGTGTATTGAATGTTTTACGCAACAGTTACTACACTCTAAAAACACTCTGGTTAAATTTGGGTTAATTCAACCAGTACGGGGTTAAAAATCCACCTACACAACTCTGGTTAAAAAAAATTAACCATTTTCCTGGTTAAAAGTCCAAAAAAGTGTACCAAATTTTTGTTGAATTGATAATTTTTAACCAGGAAATGGGATAAATTTAACCCGAATGTGTTGGGTGGATTATTAACCCAATTCCTGGTTGAATTTAACCAGAGTGTTTTTAGAGTGTATAGTATAGCTTAAACACAGATTTTAACCAGAAGTTTTGCTTTATTCAATTATTGCTTTGCAGGCGTAACTCAAATTTTTGAAGGCAGTGGAGGAGACAGCGGACCCACTAGACAAAGTAAGCAAGTTTATCATGATCATTATATGTTATTTTGTGCCTTATACATGCATGAGCATGTATACGGTCTTTACAGCTGATTGTCCTTTTTCAACTCAAACCGCGGCATGTTGTGCTTTTCAATATGCTAATAACAAATAGAAACTCACACTCACTCAATGAGTGGACGTTAAATCTGAGCTTTTCTTGAGTGTCAATGCTGTTTTTGAGTAGCTGGAGGGTGAATATAGTCACACAGTAAGGTACGACACTAACCCTCCAGCTATTCAAAAACAGCATTGACACTCAAAAGAAGCTCAGATTGAACCTCCACTCATTGAGTGTGAGTGTGAGTGAGCTTTTAGAATACGGGCGTTAGACTCAGGTCCGTCGAGATTTTGTGGTTAGTGCATGAGTTTTGACTTTCAGAGGGCAATGTTAATTGAATTTAGCTGCGACAGCCTGTCTTGCCGTATTTTATACTTGAAAGTTTTTCTTTGTTCCCACAGATCGATCATGATGATCTAATGCCATTTTAAACTTTGAAATAACTATATCAACTATTTATTGTCTATAATATCTAATAATTATGTACTTTTGATTCAAATTTTACACAACCTTTCCCTTTTACAGTGAGATTTGTAGAATCAGCTAACGACGAACAAATTATAACAACAGATGAGCGAACATGCGTGAGGAAAGCATTTAGTGGAAATGGTTTCAGATTGAGAGGAGATTTTTATTATGAAATGTTTGTAAGTACAAAAGCTTAATATTTAATTGTTTCAGAAAACTATACTTTGAAACGGTCAAATTGAATTCTCAGTAGCAATGTGTAGCTAACTTGAGATTGTTAAATTCTAATTTACCCATTTTGGCTTGTGTCGCACTTGGAATTATCTTAAAATCTTAACTGTAAAAACTTCTCAACTTTGTTCTTCAGGAAGCACAGTAAATGTCTTCTATAAAGTTTCCTGCTGCTCCCGGCTCCCCATGATGCGCATGATTGGAAAAAAACATACAGAAATTATCAAATGTTAGATAGCATATGTGATTGGCAATGCATGGACTGCAATGATTTTACTTCCATTCAGACTAAAAATAATTTAGAAAGCCTTGTAACGCGAACATGCGAATCGACTATACATTCGGATAAACTTAATATAAAATATAATTGTTTATGAATGTACTTGCCTTATGTAAAACCCTATAAAAAGAGCGAAGAGTTAGAGGAACGCCAAGACGGCGAAAATTTGGCAAACGCTCCCCAATTAGCCCACATAGGCGAAATCACTCGCCTTCTATCTCCTGTACAAGTTTATTTTAAACGATTTTAAATTCTACCATCTTCTTTTTAATCGTTAATTTGATTCATATTAAATCCGCGATTGCGTCGATTAACTGGTCTGTGTATTAAAATGGTCGGGCGCCATGTTTTTCTTACCGCATTTTTGTTGGCTTTTTATTTCAAAGCGGAGCTAATTTAACTAAGTCTAAGATCCCGTATAGGTCAAGTTATTTTCAGTAACGTAACTGCAATACTTGGTCATACGGGCATGTGCTGATAAAATAAATAATAAACGTTGGCGTACGGGGCTGAATGCTTTCCCGGGGAGGCAGTTGAAACTTTGCCGGAATCTTTGTAGAGGAATCTTTGTAATGAAATTTCCTTAATTTAACATATTTTCTGGTAAATCTACCCGACTTCTCTTGATTTTTCCTGGAATTTGCCCGAATTTCCATGGGTTTCTAATGCAAGCTGGGAAGGGGAGGGAGTTTCCCCTCCCCTCTGCCCCCCTATAACTGTCTCGTACGCCTGTGATAATAAAAAGTGACATAAATATTTCATTAAGAAATCAAAATGCAATTATATGCATGGCTCCCACTTGTTTGCTTCCCACGCTCGTTAGCCATTGATCGAGAGGAATAATTTAAACTGATGTTTACAATAATTACGTCTGGTTGTCGTGACAGTGTTGTGCTAGATGCATGCAAATAACGTCAGACAGTCATGCAATGGTACAGTATATGCGTCAATGCAAAAATGCAATGTTTGGCAAATATCCATCTTAGTGAAATACTTCTAAAAAGGTGAACCAGCTAGAAAAGCGCTGTGCAGTGCTGGCATGGAAATATTTCTGGGACCAAACCATGCTGAACTACTATCATGTTTACTATATAATTATTAATGTTTTCTGAATGCTTTAAACTCATAGGCAGATTATCTATTGAGACCATCTACGCAAATTCGCCTAAATAGATCAACTATATATTATACATGATTGGTATAAGGCCGCACCGGATTGCTTTAGTGCAACACACTGTTTAATTTGCGCGGGTTTTGCGTAAAAGTTTAGCAAAAAGAGAGAACTCAAGAAGGAATTAAAGGCAAGATGCACATTATTGGTATTTATATGATTCTTTCCTTGAAGTATATTTTGAACTTATTAGTTAAAATATGCACATTTTGAGAAATATTCTGTCATCTATTTTTCTGTTGGCGGTCATTTATTTCAGATTTGAAGTTTGTATATCTGCTCTCGGTATAACAAATAAAATCCATTAGCTAACGTTTTTAACTGAAAAGACGTCTAAAACTGACGTGTCTGAAATAACTTAACTTAATTACTAGGTAACAAAACTGCTGACTGCTTATAGAATATAGTCGCTGTTTTGGCTTGTTTTAGCAACTAACCAAAGAGCGTGACAATTAATAGACTGATTATAAAAATGCTTGTAATTTTCATCACTGCATGCCGCCTTCAAGATCGAATACTTCATACAAGACTAACAGTTTTACAAAGTATAAATATAATATCATGTATTCCGGCTTTGACTCTTTGAAAAATTAAATGTTAAAAATATACCCAAGGTTACGCTAGAATTAGGAAACAAGTCTTACTAGCATTTTTTGTACATTCTAAAAGGCTATATAATTTAACTTGCAACTTTTACACTTTGCCTTAATAACAGTCTTTGTTGAAAATTATTTATTAACCTGGTAATACAAAAATAGTTGTTGTAGCTATGTTGTAGCCGAATCGATCAATGGATTCATGCATGCATGCATGCATGCATGCAGCCATGTTTTGCGGATCAACTTAATTCTTAAATCTTAATCAATTTTAGTGTAAAACTAAAAGGCAATAGCAGATCTAGATTTAATTATTTATCATCTTTGAATGGATATCGAACTAGGTAAAACCAAAAGTAAAAATAAATAGAAAGTATAAGAATCCAATTAATTCATCTCGTTAATTGTATAGTGCCATTAGTGGACTATCAATTCATTCGTTGTTTACGCAGCCATTATTAAATCTTCTTCTATTCATGCACGTTTGATCATGAAATGCTGATTTCCACATAATTAAGAATTTAGTTGAATTTGAATAATGCTCAAAAACCATTTTAAAACAACATGTAATATTTCATATAAAAAAGAGTATCACAACTTTGTATTTTTTCTGTTTGCATTAAGAGATATATATAATAATAATCTTTAATGAGGAAAGCTTTGTCACATATGACGTGATTTTCACAAAGGTCCTACACATAGGGAACATTATATATACAAATAACCATGCAATTATAAAAATCTAAAACTAGTTAAAAGTCAAAAGTCTAAAACTGTAAGTCACGATGTTCTAAGCAGGCTCTAGGTTAAAAGTTTAGAAAAAAGATTTCTCTTAAAGGACATAAGTGTTGGAGCATTCCTTATATCACTGTCTAAATCATTCCAGTCTTTGATTGCTTGATAGTTAATGCGTTGTTTCCCCCAATTGCGTTTGACTTTAGGTAGCCTTATTGTGTCCTTATTTCGAGTGTTATGACTGTGAATCTGACTACATTTAAGAATGTCTAGAGAATGCTCCGTAAGACCATTAACACACTTCCAGATATGAATGCAGCGATGGAAATTCCTGCGTCGACGTAAATCGAGCCATTTCAGGGCTGACAGCGCGTCAGTTGCCGATGAGTACAAAGGTCTATCTAATATTATCTTCGCAGCCTTGTTCTGTGGTACTTGGAGCTCACCCATCAAAACAAGATTGTCCTTGTCCCCCCAGACCAAGTCAACATAGTCAAAAATTGGTAAGACTAAACTATTGTAGAAAAGCAGGCGAGCTTGGTGGGGCAACAAATGCTTAATTCTGCGTAAGAGACCCAGGTTCTTGTTTATCTTAGACGAGATATATTCAATGTGATCAGTCCAGGTAAAATTTGTAGACAGCATTACTCCCAAGTATTTAAAGCTAGATACAGTATTAATATCAGTATCAAAAATAGATAATGATAACGAGGAGACATTCCCGAGCTTCCTGTTACTGCCTATTATCATTGATTTAGTCTTGTCAAGGTTCAGGGTGAGCTTGTTTTCACGAAGCCAGTGAGCAACCCTTAGGAGATCCTCATTTAGCTTATCTTCAAGCAGCCGTGGATCTTTG